TTACCTTCAAAAAACACAGAGCAAATAATCTTCCCCCCTACTAACCTCCCTCATTTAAAACTCTGCTGTTCATCTCAGCACTCCGGGAAGTTGAGGCAGAATGATCACAAGTTGAAACGTGGCCTGGCTAATTTAGAGATTTAGTGAAACTCTATCTCAAAAAATAAAGAGGTCTGGGGGTGTAACTCCCGTGAAGGCCCTGGGTTCCATCCTCAGTGCACACACTTACACATATGCACACTGCACACGCACACGCACACAAATGTTGTTTATAAAGTGGGACCAATTATCACAATTGTCGCTTGCATGATTAAACACAAGTCTGAGCATTTCACTCGTGGAGTTAAGCTTGCTGCCTCCTTAGATGCCATGGTCCGTACTGTTGCTTCTGTTTCCCAGTAGCTATTCAGTGCCTCCCAATAAAAGATCCATGAAAGCAAGTAAACCAGAATTCTTTTCTTTATTTTCTTTTTTGGAGGGAGGGTGTCTTGTTTTGTATTTATTTATTTATTTATTTATTTATTTATTTATTTATTTATTTATTTTTTGAGACAGGGTCTCACTATGTAGTTCAGGCTGAACTTGAACTCACTATGTAGCCCAGGCTGGCCTCAGATTTGAAGCAATCCTCCTGCCTCAGCCTCCCAAGTGCTGGAATTACAGTCATGCACCCCCACATTGGGGGAAGAGTGCTTTTATCCTTGTATAATGTCCCTCTCTGCTTGCACACCTTTGCTACTATGGAGGCTGAAACAGCAGGGTCACAAATTCTAGCCCAGCCCAAGCAATTTAGTGAGACTCTGTCTCAAAATTAAAAATAAAAAGGATAGCTGGGTGTGGTGGCGCATGCCTGTAATCCCAGCACTTGGGAGGCTGAGGCAGGAGGATCACTGCGAGTTCGAGACCGGCCTGAGCTACAAAGTGAGCTCAAGGCCTGCCTGAACAGCACAGAGAGACCCTGTCTCAAAAAGACCGAAAAAAAAAAAAACGGGTCAGAGGTGATGCTCAATACAAGGCCTGAGGTTCAACCAGAAGTACTGGAAGCAAACCAAAGTGGAATTTTAGTAAGGAGAGCAATGGAATCTCTAGATCAATTAACAGCGTCATATTAAGAACCTGAGTTCTGGGGTGTCGTATTGTTCAGTAATAACTTATCTGCTCTGTTGTAAATGAGAATAAGAAAGGGTGACTTCTTTGCAGAGTTAAAGTAGAGCAGGGTATGTAGTAGCTTAGTGGTAAACAGCTTGGCTAGTATGTGAGGCCCTAGGTTGATCCTAGGACTCAAAGGAAACCCCACACACAAGGCCCACCCTTGGGCACTGTCATGGTGGTTGTGCTAGGAATGTTGTCCACAAAGATTCCTGATGATCAAATCCCTAAAAATGCCGCATGTAGAAAATACACGGAGAGGGCAGGCGTGGTGGTGCACGCCTGTAATCCCACCACTCAGGAGGCTGAGGCAGGAGGGGTGTTGTGAGTTCGAGACCAACCTGGGCTACAAAGTGAGCTCAAGGCCAGCCTGAACTGCATAGCGAGACCCTGTCTCAAAAAGACCAAAAAAAAAGGAAGGAAGAAAATAGAACAGACTACGGATGAGAGGCTGGCTACAGTGAAAGCGGAACCAGATGCTAAAAAATTAGAAGATGGGCTTCATCTTGACCAAATAGAAGGAGGTGATTCTTTGGGCTGGAGTGAACTAAGCCTGGCAAGGAAAGTGATGCAGTGGAAACCATGGAAGCCTCCCGCCAACGAGTGGAAATGACCAATATAACTGTCACTCTCTGTCTGTGATGGGTTGCTGGGAAACTGTTGTAATTAAAACATCTGTTATATTAAAAATGTTTCTGTTATTTCTTATCAAGAAAAAGGACACAGGATTTTTAGGAGTCTTATTAAACTTAGTGATTGTG